TGCAGTCGATATGATGCTGATGAGATTTGACATAGCACAAAATGCCTGCGGTGGTGGTGAATCTGTCAATGATAAGGGTTTGCTCACTTGGGGATGCAAGCAGTTCATGGCGAACGAAGGCATTACCGTGGCGCGGAAGCCGGCGAGAAATGCTAACTTGGGCCTTCCGAGGCCATTCCCCACATTCACGAAGAAGCAGATCAGCATAATCCCCGCTACCCGTCCGCGCCCTGCCCAAGGCAGCCGGCCAACTAGAGTGGGGCAGCCATCCCGGCCGACACGAGCTAGACAACCACCTACTCGGCCACACTAGCAGTCCCGTACGGATGGACCTATCGACCAAGTATGATGTTAGACTAGAGGAGGTTGTAACGGGCTCAGTGTACTACCGCCTGTAGACGATACGAGGAAGCGAGCCGTGTGGACATAGAGGTCACGGCATCAGTCGTGGTGGTGTATAGGTTAGAATATTTTCCGGCTCTTAGCCTGAACCGGTAGTCCGCTGTGAGCAGGGTTAGGCATATACTAAACCTGTTGAAAAAGGCGATAGCTGGTCTAGTTCATATAGGCAGACCGAGACTGTAAACACACATTGATTCAAAAAAAAAAACGGAGTATCGATAATAGAAGGGAAATGAGCGAGCGGCGCAAGAACACTTGGGCCTTCCTTTTATGAGCTAGATGATGGGGGGATTAAACAGACCTAAAGGCAGCAAAGCATGCGGCTGTATCAGAGCTGGCTACCAGGAAATCGACAAGCACGCAATGGGTCGCAGAAATAAAGACTGCTGCGATAGTGTGTAGGCAAGTGACCGCTTCACCAAAGATGCTGGCGCGGCCAATGAGCAAGCCATGACAGGCGAAGAGGACGGCAAGCAGCTACTCCTGTCGGTAGCGCAGCAGAAACAAGGTCCTTATATATGGCTATCGGGATTGTATATAATACGTGGAAGAAATGCGGAAACGCAGGACAGGAAGACAACAGCGTAGAGATTATCACAAAGTTAATTACAAGGGACCTTCGCACGATGGAAGAACGAGATAGGGACGGGCAATGGGCACATGGAGCTTCGTCCAAGAATAAAGATTCCAGGGAGATCAACGCAGCCCTTCCAAGAAGACACATACGTAAACTATGATACGGATTATCTCAGAAAGGAGCTATAGTCCTAGCGCAGCTACACACACCGGAAAGGGAAGGCTGAATTGGGGACTTACAACCAGAGTAGAGTATCTGCTTCATCGGAGTGTACCTATGGACAAGCGGGAGAAACGGTGCGTTTTCTCTTTTTATTGCTAGACGGCACGGCAGTCCCGATTGATTCGCCAAAGGGAAACACGGAGACGGGACTCTAATCACATTCCTCTGAGGAAAAAGGGGGCCTCCAACCCGAAGGACTAGTTGCCTTGTGAGGCATTGTTAATTAAAACAAAACCAGAGAATGAAGGGGAAAGGAGAGGGAGAAAAAAAAAAAAAAGAAAAAGAAAAAGGAAAACTGGAAAAAAGAAAAAGGAGTGAAAAAAACACACGAAGGAGCTGAAGCGTATATCAGCCCGCACTGAACGGCGGTAACACTTATATCCATAACAACCAAATAACGACGAAAGCTTAGAGGAAGGACCTCGACATGTCTGCTACTAGCCCTATAAGCAACAGCAACGCTGAGACGCTGCGAGGTAGGTAGTGATATATATAGACACGGAGACAACACTAACAATAAGGCCTTTCAGGGGGCAGAACACAAAGATGTGAAAAGAATAGTGGAGACTATATCGATACTGGTCTGAGTCCTGAATGTCTTGGTCGGGACGCAGCTAACTAGGCGCGTATCTATATGTGCGTGGAAAGATTCCTTCCATCTCATCCAGGATCCTTCAAGGTTCTCTTAACGTCTCGCGCTGCAGAAGCAACAGAAGATCCAGATGTGCGCTAGCTGGACGTCATTGCTCTTGCAACAAAGATTGCTCTGAATTACCCCTTACGCTTCACAACGCTCGGCGCTAGTGTATTGGAAATATAGTGATATGTAGCTTGGCGCTGCGAGCTAAAGCGGGCGGATGCAGCTTCTATAATGCTAGTAGGGCTGTATAAAAACCCACCAATTAACCTACACTAGCTCTCCTCTCCGTCTTAGCCCCATGGTCTGTCCCATATCTTTAATGCCTGAGACACGTCCCTGTTAGCGGCCCTATAAATGCTTCCCCCTCACTGGAGATTTACAGACGAAAGTAGCAGTTGAAGTATTTTGGGAGAGATTACATGATTCTATTGGCGAGTGAGAGGCGGGCACTAAAAGGGACATGTCTCAGTTATGGAGAAGATAGCCTGTCTTGTTCAGAGCGCATCGTACGACCCTCCTTAGTAGTCCTGCAGACGCGAGGGAGCCCCCCTCTTCTTATACATTTGTGGTGGCTTGCAGCGATAGCGAACACGCCCCGAGGTAGCCTATCCACGCTCCTGGGTTGATCAGCATGAATACCGATTCTGCTAGTAGTAGTATTCTATCCAGAATCCTACTTATAACCGCTACGATATCTGAGGGCACTGCCTTTCTCTGCCTCTGCATTCTACTCCGTGGGCACTAGACTCCCTCATCTGTCTTGTCCTGCAGAGAGAGTTACTACCTGACTTTCTATCTTCCACGCCAACGGTTCCTACACCGCAATGACGGCGATGTGTCACCGTTGACCGAAAAGGCCTTGACCTTACCGCTCGTGGGCAGGCAGATAAACCTCCTGGTTACTACTACTGGTAGACTCACAAGATCCACTATAAGACACATATTTCACAACCATCTCAGAGCGATTGGGTTAGCGGTGGCCCATCCTAGCACAGTGTCCGCACGTCAGAGGGCTTGCGTACTGATCCGCCTTGGGTTTTGGGAGCCGCTGGCATGTAGATATCACTTCTGGGGGCGTGATCGCCACCAAATTACATCATTTCGGGGTACCGGGCCCTCTGCCGACATAGAAGAGGCCTTCGGAAGCTAGTCAAGCGCATGTCTGACCCTGACCACGAACACGAAAACAATTAGTTCATGGATCTCTGCATCGCTTCGCCGGTGGAGCCTGCGTTGAAACCATCCGCTTGCTGTCTGCTGCGGTCCGGCGCTCTAGCTATCGCATCAGCGTTGTTGTCCGGGTCATCTAAGTTATCCGGTATTTGACAGGAGGGTTTCGCATCCTCTTTAATACCCGGTCGTCGTCGCCTACTCCGTTGCGTTTCCGACGATAGTGATAAACGTCGAATCCAGCCATTGGAGAGTCTATTATGTCGCGCGACAAGGTGGGTCGTGCTGATGCCACGTAGCAGTTGCGGAGAAGTACCGTCCGCAAAAGGAAACATCCATCTCCAAAGTTATTGCAACTGTTGTCTCTAGATCTGGCATCAGTGTTGGTCTGGGGGGGATGACGCGACCTTGCCTTCTCTTGGAACCTCGCGTGAAGAACAAGGTCTCTCTAGGGGGGTTGTTTAGTACAGCTGAATTGATGCAGGTTGATATGTAAGACTACGCTACATACCCTAGTTAATTGCACGTCTATATGTACGCATATACATACATACGTATATAACATACATACGTATATACATACATACGTATGAGTCTTAACAGTCTGCTGGCAGGCTCGGGCGTGGTTCTACGACGACAGGCAATGGCGTGAACAGGACGAGAAAAGGTCTCCGCGGCGACCAGGTCTCTGCCAATGATCGTTTAGGCTATGGTAGACACGTTGGGCAGGAGTCTGCGCTAACCGAAAGACTACTTGAAGGGTATCTTCTTCCAAACCAGTCCAAAATTGCTTTACAACCCTTTACAGCACTCACTATTACGACCAACCCAAATCTATCAGTTCATCACGCCGACTAGGCAGCCCACTCTTCTCTCTTTTCTTCCATCCCCCTTTTGCTCTTTTTTTTTTTTCCCTTTTTTTTTTCTGTGTTTTTTCCGTCTTGGGTTCCTTGAACGGGCTCATGAGTAAAACTCTCATCCTATCTTCAATCGCCTCATTCATCGCGATGATCGTTATAGTTACGTTCTGTGTCAATGTCGGAACCATGAGACGTGTATGTAAGCTGCGCCTTCCGGTGCCAATGCAGCCTGATAGTCTCTTCAGAATAGGCCTTAAAACAGTTAGACATCATACAGACCGGGCCTAAGGCAGAACTGACATAACATAAAGCCAAGGTTAGATAGAAGCGAGCTCAGTGCGCAAGGCGCAAGTCTATATTCACAGAAACGTAGAAGAATGCCTGGCCGTCTATGTGTACGGCCAGAGACTACGGGGAGCGAAGGCATAGTAGTTGTTTTAGAAACGGCGCGGCGGCGATAGTCTATTGCGGATCAGTTAGGGCACTATGGACAGTGTGTGTGTTGATTGAGCTACAAACCACAGCTCTGTTAGTGCCTCTAGTCGTCTCACGGTTGTGGGTAGGAGAGCACCCGACTAATTTAGTACCTACGGTGCCCTGGCGCCATAAGGGCGTCCGCTTACAATCGATAACCCCGGATTTCGCGGGTCGATGATTCAAAGACGCTTCGAGCCACCAACCCGTACCCTTCGGCACTTTAACCACCTCGTTCCATCTAAGACGTCTGCTCCTATGGGTTGATTTGGCGGAGGAGGTGATTCCTTGTTTGGTGGCGGCCGCTGGACATACATACTAGGGGACGAGAAGTTACACAGCTTTTGCGATCGTCTAGACTGCGATTTCAACGCTGTGGGATGCTTTCTCCACAAGGAAGGTCCGTGTCAAGGACGAGCTCACAGCCGCGATTTCGAGGCATACGGGCCTACCCTGGATAGCATCTACCTTCGGGCGTTGACCTGAACTGACTCAAGCCGCGACGCTCACCACCCCCCCTTATCATGTGAGATAGTGAGGCGGGCTCCAGATCGGATATAAATATACTACCTAGCCGCTGGCTCGGCTGCTTCCGCCGGAGGCCATGCCATGAGCTCCTGGAGGCGCGTCGCTAAGGTGATAGAGGTTGACGACCTTATGGGGACTCCTCTTCCTCTGCGGCCCGCCAGGCGTGGGGGACTGATATGGCTCTGGGCACGTACTGGACAAACTTCCGGCGACGTGCGTAGCCTCTGGCCCAGTTGGTCGGCTTATATCCGCTGGCTGGGACTTCTGTCACGCAGGCGTTGTTCATCAACGCAAGGGCATCGGTGCAGTCGGTGACACGAACGCCGAACATTTGGACAATGAGCCTGTTTGTGACCGTGGGATATCCGTGGCACGCCCCTTGTAAATGCCTTGCAGCCTCGGCTAGGACATGTTGTCTGAAGCGAATGCTGTGTTCGTCGCACCTATCACGCGTCAATATTCCCGTCAGACCTGGTTCCGCCATATCAGCCGCCGGCTTGTAGGGAACGTACCTGATGATGTAGAAGAGTCCGTTAAATTTTATGATTACGCTCTTGGCCCCAGAGGCATTATGGCGTCGAACCTCGTCGATAGTGGTCGTTCGAGCTTCGGCCTTTTGACCGGTGGTGAGTCGCGGGCGCTTCGGCCCGAGATTCGCGGCTGAAGGCTGTCTGCGCCTCGTCGCACTCCGCCCACACTGCCCAGCCAACCCTTCTGGCGTTTTTGGTGTACTGCCAACAAGGCCGGTTGATCCCTTCTCGTGGCCTCGGCACGCGAAACCGTGTCTGTCACGGTAAGGACTCTGATAGGCCCGCTGAGCCTGCTGCGATGGCAACACGACGACGGGACCAGGTACGCCTTCGTTGGACGCTCTCAATGTGACAGCAGATGTCCCTAGCGGACCATGCGGGGGACGCTGAGCGCCGTCCTCAGCAGGGTTTGGACATACAACGGCCAGCGGTCTGATGGTCAGCCCTCTAACCGCGGGAGGAAGCGAGTGTGTCTTGGGCGCGATGACATCGTCGGATGCGACATCATCGGATGCAACATCGTCAGATGCGACATGGTCAGGCCCTCCCCTCAGCTGAAGGTCGCTCGCCCGACCTGTTGCTTGGACGGATGTTTCGCGTTCCGGCGTGCCTTCGCCCGACCCAAAGCCCACTATCGGCATGATCTTGCTTGATAACGGGAACCGGCGATGATGGTGTAAGAACACCTCCCTCTCCTGGCAATCGACAGCTTCTAATGACCGGTCGCGATCCAGTTGGATCTGTTCGAGGCGTCCCTGCCAGATCTCGCGTTGATAACGGCATAATAGTTCGACGACATCTGAGGGCAACACCTGACGGCTGATGAATTGGGCCTGGTTTGCCAGGTCGATTCGAACGCTCTGCTGCGCGCGATCGCAGGCGGCCCTAATACGTTCTCTTGCCTCCTTGAACTGCAGCCTGTTTCTGTCCAAGGTGGCGAACCAAGTGTTCCGCTCCTGCTCCAGTGACTCGCGTTCGTTCTGCTCCCGAGATCCGGGATCAATACGGCCGTGTGTTAGCATGCCGGCGGTCCCGCGGTTGACGTCGAACATTGGTAGCGGGTTATCTATCGTTAAGGTGAGGTAGCAGTGGCTGAACGTGAGCTGTGTGTCGGTCTGGGCAATAGGCTGATTCCCATCCAGCAAACCGCGGATGCCCAGCCCGGTCTCCCTACACCCGACCCTCGCTTCCCCTTAGCGACGGGGCAATGCGCACATAAGAGATGGTCCAGGCCAGACGGTCTCGGCGGTTGAGCTGCCGCGTTCGAAGTCGGCGATAGCGAGGAGCCTCCCGACTCAGCGGCCCTGCTTAGATATGTCAGATACAATCGAGATAACCTCAATCACAGGATCAGAACACCATATATACCTTTCAGCTAACAGAGAAGCGCAGCTGGGGAAATAAGGCCCCGGAAGGGAGAGCTGGCCCTCGAGAGGATAGGGGGAGCCCAGTCTAAACGAGCTTCCTAACAGACACCGTAGTTGAGGTAGGAGTGGATACGGAGGTAATAACGACAGAATAGTCCGCTTTGCTCCTGTGCGTGTCTGCTGCTGCTGCTGCTGCTGATGATGATGATGATGATGATGGAAACTGACGGCGATGTCCTCTGCTAAATCGGATTGCTAAAGGCCCGCCGCGCGCCTTATGTCGCGCGAAGCTTTTTCCAGCGTGTGAAGTGTGGTGATGCTGGACCCCCTGCCTCATGGGGCCCCTCCCCTGCCGGCGGTCCATGCCGGCGGTCCCTGCCAAGCGACATGGGGACTAGCCTCCACTGTACGGATACATGAAGAGCTATACATAGTATGTGGACTGGTAAGTAGTTAAGCTAGCTGGGTCGGCGGCTGGTAGCACCCATAGCTCCATGAGACCCATTCTCCTGTATAATTACCTGCGGCTAACTGAACCTGCGACCCCATACAAGAGATGAGCTCGTGGCGGCGTCCAGCGAGCATTTACCCGAAAGACTGAGATGGTTCGACGATGCAGGAAACCTGCGGCGCGAGCGAGATACCAAGGGGTCCTTGGCAGCACCAAGTCCCATTCCTCTATCCTGCTGGCCATCACGCCTGCCGTCAAACCTGATGCGACCCATTAACTTTATCCGTAGACCAGCCCTCACTACCCGAAGGACCTATCTTTGCCCACCCGGGAGCCCTCTGAATGGCCCCGCGCATGGATGCAATTTTTTCTGGGCCTCTGGCGCCCGACACCCTGGAATCCATTGTTCTTCGGGTCGGCGTGCATAGAGTATAGGCACGGGTAGTGAGTGTTGGCATTGAGAGTCGGGGGCTGGTGCCGTAGCTGCCCGCACACAGGCCGCGGCCGCGGCGTAGCCGTACGGATCCCCGGCAACCCTGTCCGTTCGATCCGTCCTGGATACTCAAGGTCGTGTCCGTATCATCTAGCTGTCAACGCCCCAAGCGTCCGAGCCGGACCTACAGCCCGGAGCGAACGGGATATCCATGCACAGGTTAGCCTCTCGGCGGGCTAGTCGCATTGCAACCTGGGCAAGGATTGCCCGAGCTTGGACAGGGCCGCCTGGGGATTCGTACCCGGCACACTGCCCCACAAATGTTTCAGACGGGCGTCTGTTGACTTTCTCGGCCTATACGATCCTTGTCGATCGTGAGGCCGTCGTTGACAACAGTTCGGACCTTGCCGCTGCGGGCGCCCTGATCTGACCACTGTACGTACCTTAATACGATCACCACACAACGAAAGCTGCTGTAGAGTAGAAGGTCGGACAAGGCTTGGCGTATTGACGTCGGATATATGGTTACATATACTTATATGAATATATATAAATATATGTATTTATATATGCTTACACATATGTATGTATGAAGGCGAGGCGGCTAAGCAAACGTCGTACGGTTCCCCTCCTCCGACCTCATCCCTCAAAACAACCTCAGCGAACGTACCTTCTCAGAGCCCAAATGATCACATCCCCGAGCCTCTGACCATTAACCATAACTTACCCCGAAGCCTAATCTTCAACTAACCCCCACCAGCCCGAAAACGTATATCTTCTTAGCCAAAACCACTCTGAATTAATCCGCGTATTTATGCGACTTTTCTTCGAATTTTGCGCCCGGTTTAAAGACATTCTTCTTCGGTCGGCGTGCAACGGGCGCGCCGTGGGTGGTATCGGCCGCCCGTGTGGGGCACCTAGTATGGGCCTGGTACCGTGGCTAGCCTACGCACAAAGTTGTGGCGTGGCCGCACGAACACCAGTTTTCATCCGTTCGGATAACTCTACAATGAGCAGGAAGTCCAGGGCTGCCAGGCGTTCCGCAAGATTAACGCCGGTTGGTCGTAGGGCTAGGGTTGCCTGACCTGCTTGGTAGGGTCAATACTAAAACGCCGCTACACTAGGTAGTCAAGCAGGGGTCTTGCTCGTTGGCGGTCTGTTTGGCTTCTAAGGAACACCTCAACTGTCAAGTGACTAGGGGCCGCGCAAAGCGAACAGAAAGACGGATGAGATACATACGCTGCATGGAGCTTGCGACAAGTCGAGCTCAGTGTAAGTAGCAGTTGAGTCGACGGCTACCGTCGCCTCGCGCGTCGCTCTCTACTTGAAAGACGGGTATGGACTGCGGTCTCTGCTACAGCCCGTCTGCCCGGGTTGATGGATCGGACTCGGCATTGCTTTCATATGCACTTCGCCTGACTTATCTCGCCCGCGAGAATTTAGGTCGACCAGATAACTATAACTCACAACCAGACCCTATGAACTAGATGACACTCAGTGATGCTTGTAGGTGTTCATTATCCTTCGGAATGCACGATACAGGGCGGTAGACCCCGGCTTCTACGCCCAACGGACGGACGGGGTGTCCGCAAAGCACGATCATATGCGCAGGGTATACAGGTATTCCAACACAGAAAACGTTGACGCATTCACCTAGTAGACCTTAGAATGCCCCATGTGGGAGAGGGACTTCAAAGTTCAGACTGGCTAGCTTAGGCCCAAAGAAGCCACAGGTATATTCGGCTCACCGCCGCCGCAACAGCAAATCACCTTCGCTGAAATAGACCCGGCGACAGATCACACACCCTGACGCCAACGCCGACGCGCACAACGATCCTTTCGGTGATAGCCGACGTCACGTGAGTATTGCTGGGATGTATGTTGCGTCCACAGAAATCATGAGGGACATGTCGAGGATCGCAAGTCGGACCCTTGGGGTGGCATGTGACGTCACTATCTTGTTACCTCAAGAGTCACTCTATAAGTAGGCAGAAGCTTGGCGTGCATTCTATACAAAGACCCATTTCTTTCTCTCTTTTCTCTCTGAAACCCTCCCCCCCCCCCCCCCCCCCCCCCCCAACACACACCATGTGGATATGCTTGATGTGGTAATTGAGCTTGGATGCTTGTCGATAATGCCTTAACAACATAGCTACACATCACTTGGGCGATGTTTCCATGCTTACTATAAGGGATTGGGTAGACGGAACGGAGAAGCCCGGGAGCAGCTCGGCCAACGGAGGCCGGAGGGCCGGAGAGGCCTGCGGGTCAGGGCACAGAACCATCCACAGAGAGGACTTGGCGAGTACTCGTTGAAGGCTGGAAAAAGCGAATCCTCGAAGAAGCAAGCAAAAATAGCGCAGCAATACCATACATACCTTTTAGGTTCTGCTTCTATCAGTTTGACCTAACCGTGGCCCGTAGCCCCTAAATACCTTTACACTTACGCAGTACGTACCATGGAGTATGATTAAAGCAATGTTTCAAGTGAATCTAGCTACGGAGGGTGCGCGATTGCTGAGCAACATGTTGTATGCCGAGATGAAAGTCCTCGCTAGGGGTCCACGCAGTTCACTACTGAACTATGTCTACTTACTATTCACTAGATGTAGCTCCTAGTACGCAGGTATAGCTATAGAACCCAGGTACAGCAAGAGACATAGAGTAGGCGCTTTTTTGAACTCTTCTCTACTTCTCTATATCGGGGTGTTGGTATACATGTACGCTAGCGAATCATATATTAGATCCTGCCTAGCCCCCGGTTCTGTGTCAGGACGTTTGGGATTTGTAGCATTGTGAACCATGCAAGACAGCGAAGGATTGAACCACATCCACATTGGAATCTCACGTTCACTGTCTGTCACTTAAAGAAACCAAGGACAGGCGCTGGAACCGCATCCAGTGATGTAGCCTCCTAGCTTTGCGGTCTCATACCTATCTCGCCAAGTATCGTTCCCAAGCCTAATGTTATGTTATAGATAGAGCGGCTTGTGTGATAAGTTGCTAATATAACACTCGAGGGCCTCACTCAATCAACGTGGGCGTCTCTCTCATCTATAACGTAGGTCTACAACGCCTGTCTTGTCAGACCAGTATGGGATCCCCCAACCTAGTTCTACCCTATATAGTACCGGAAGACGGAGAGGGAAAGAGAGGGAGAAAGTGGGGGAGATTGATGCCGCTCCCAACATCTTCATACTAGCTCTCCACGCTGGTTTGGCACCAGTGGATGACCTAGCGAGGCCTTGGGCTGACCCTCAGAGACGGAGAGGGGCGGATTTTCCCTTTTCTCAGTCCATGCTTGCGTGGTGCTGTAAAGTGGGACTGGTCCCGTCCGCTCCACATTCCCGATCGCAGAATAGGCTAAACCGACCTGAGGGACTAACAAGAAACCGCAAGTGTATTAGGAGAAAAGCTTTACGGCATTGGGATTTCATGACATGCTGCGTCTGGCCGCCTCTCTCGTCTTACGTTGTGGGATATCTGATTTCTAACCCCGTTCATCCTACCCATGGGTTCCTTTCCTTATTTCAATCCCCACGTCACATATAGTAACTCGGCATGCCTATGGTAGACGAATAGGAACGACGAAATATCATAGACACCGTCCTGCCCTAGCAGACCTCGGGCTTGATTGAGAAAGGGTCAGCAACTTGCCCAGCCTTCCAGAGTCTGTCTCACGGGACAGAGACCAGTTCAACATATGGCTTACAAGCGCTGGACCGTCCCTATCACAGCCCCTAGCACCTTCAGCCGTCGTTAGGGACACATCGCACATTACAAATTACCGAGTGGCCCTGA